AGCAAGCAAGATGGGGGCGCAGCCCAGAGCCGCAGAGACACTGCGAATAAGACACGGCGGGGGGCGCAAACTGTGCCAAAAAGGGTGGAGCGCAGGAGGTGGGTTATTTCAGCCACCTGTCACTGCCGCCCAAAGTGGGCTGCCCTGGGAGGGCACAGACGACCCCAGAGTCCATGGTGGCGGCGGCCTCCGTGATGGAGACTATGGCCACACTCCCGCGCAGCGATCGGCAGCGGGGATGGAAGGGCCTGGCAAGGTCCACGTCTCCAGCGTGGGCTGTCTATCTGCGACGCTCACTGGCGCCCCTCGCCCCCGCGAGGGTAGCACGTCTCGGGTCGAGGCAGGTTTCTGCAAGGTCCACGAGTCCAGCGCGGGCCGTCTAAAAGCGCAGCGCAAGGGCATTGGCGCCCCTCCGCCCCATAGGAGGTAGCACAGGGCATTGCGGCACAAGCCCGGCGCTGCGGGCGAAACCAACTGGGGAGGGGGTTGCGGCGCATGCCCGGCAGGGGGGAGGGAGGTAGTCTGCGCTGCGCGCGGCAGGAAGGACGTGAGTTGGGGGGCCGCATCGGCGAACGTCGCTGCCCTGTTCACGCCGGGGGGGGGGGGGGCCGAACCCAAGCGGGTCCTCGTTGCGCCCCCGTCGTCTGGGTCGGGAGCCCCATCCCCGCGGGCGCTTGTCAGCGCACAGGTGTTCTCCTCTGGGGGAGTGGCGCTTGCCCTTCGCCTTCCAGTCCGCGTCGGTCCATGACGCCCCTTGGTGCCCCCAAGCGCCCCAGAACTGCCATCCACGCCACGACGAGCCAGAGCTGGATGCCCCGGTCCACTGGTCTGGCGGGGCAGCCCGCGCAGCCTCCTTGCCCGCTGTGGTCCATGGGGGTGGGCAGCCACTGCTGTCGGTCCCGCAGGCGGTGTGCGGTCTGGCGTCGCGTTGCATGAATTTGCGGTGCTTCTCCTTGACACTCGACCAGGTCAACGTGGAGCTTGTACTCTTTATCCATCTTATAGGCGTCAAATTCCGCTTTGCTCCATGCCTGGAGGAAGCCGTTGCACTGTTGTGCGGAATTGAGCTTGGGATCAAACTTGATGTAATGGCTCCCTTGCCTGGATGCGGCCCTCTTGACCCAGGCGCCCCAGACTCCGTTAAACGCACCCCCCAGCGTCCTCTGCAGCCGCGAGATCTTTTCGGGCGCTGGTTCGTCCCTATAGACGTCCGCCCTGTCAACAGAACACATGTACATGGGGATGCCTCCCATGGGATCGTCAGGGCGCGCTGCAGGTGTTGGCGTTCTCCGCGCGTCGTTCCAAGAGCCCTGGGTGGCGCGCAATAGCCGGGAGGAGTCGCGCGGGGTGGCCGAGCGCTCTCTGGCCCTGACTTCGTCAACCGCGGGTGTTTGCCAGCCACCTTCGCCACTCGCATATCTTAGGGCCCTGTTGTCCCGTGCGGCGTGCAGACTCCGGGTCCGATCATCCCTGCTACGAGGGTCGCCTCGGGCGCACCTATCTCTGAGTGTTCCCCTGGCGGCTGCCTGTTCGCATGGGGACCAGACTTCTGACTCGGTCTTGTCAGGAGGTTTTGTCCAGAGCTGTGGGGGGTCCTGGGTCACCTTGTCATCCACGGGAGGGGCTGTGTCACTTATGTCGTCCTCGGGATGGGTGGGGCTGACCTGCGAGCCGGAGTCAACGGAGATGTCCTGCGGGCTAGATCGCGCGCGGGCGTCAGGCTCGGATTTCCTGCCCGCCTCTTCACCCCAATCGACCCCTTCCACATCGCCTTCGCCTTTCCAGTGCCCCGGTGGGGGTTGCTCCTCTTCCTGGGCTGCAGGGGTCCGGTCAGACTCGGCGGGCTGAGGGGTGGTGCGTCGGTGCGGGTCGGGGGTGCTCCGTGGTCCTTCACTCGGCGATCAGCCGCGGGGGATTCCTTCATGCTGGGCCTGTTGAGCCAGCTGGCGGCTGGTGATTCACCACGGTCTGAGCTGCTTGCGGCCGGCCCCAGGGGCAGGGCAGCGAGGTGGTCGATGGTTCCCCTGGTCAAGTCGGAGCCTTCCAGCCTGTTAAGGAACGCCGTGAGGATGTGAAGCGGCTGTCGGGAGGGGCCCTGCCCCTTCTCGTTGGTGAGGCTGTCTGCGTAGCGGTCCCAGTCCTCTTGGTACTTCTGGTTCCCACCCACCAGGTGTGAGACGACCCTGGCTGCCGCTGCCCGTTGTCCGCCCCATGGGACGCACGGGGGGTGACCGCCGTTTGGGATGTCTTCTCCGCACACCGTGCTCAAGAAGGGGAGCAGCAATTCAGTCGGCCACCTCGCTTCGTCGGTTATGTCACCTTTGATGCTCCCTCCTCGTTGCTGTGCATGGGCGGCCCATAGGGTGTAGATTGTGTGACTACACTCAATCGTGTACTTGACCAGGGCGTGGACTGGGCCGTCTGACTCCACCCCTGCCAGACGGAGGGTGGAGAGCGTGGGCAGGCATGGGCACGGGGGTGGCGGCAAGTCGGGGAAGGA